AAATGCCAAGGTAAAAATGCATTAGGGAGTGGGGAGCGGCTATGGAGATGGCACTTGCCACACAAGAGGACATGAATTTGGATCCTCACAACCCACATAAAGACAAACATGGGAGCACGCATCTGTAATTCTAGCATTCCTAGGGCGAGATGGGAGGCAGAAACAGAAGAATCCCTGGAAACTTGCAGGGCAGCTACATGGCATACAAGATGGAGGGTGAGGAGCAATGCCCAAGGTTGTCCTCTGACTTCCACAAATGTACACACACACACAGGCACACATTTCTTTTTTATGATGAAGAAAAAGCATTGGGGTGGGGTGGGGGGAAACGAGAAAAGGCTTGCTGCTTTCAACACAGAAGCCTACTGGCCCACTATAAACCTAAGTTGCCTGGAGAAGCCTTTCAGACAGACACCTGAGAAACAGTTGGAGGCAGAACTGGACCTCCAGTTCTGAGGGACAAGGACATGCCCTGAGGATAGTTTCACAACACGGCTGACACTGTACTACAAAGTTGAACAAAATGACCAGCGTGTCCAGGATCCTTCTAGAACCACGCAAAGCACTGAAGATACTTCTCTGGACTTTGAATTTTACACTTGAATCAGCAAAGTCCTGAAGCAAGAACATCCTAGCAAGACAGTCAGTGGTGTGGCTTCTTTGGCCCCTGTGAGACCTTGGGTTCCATCCTTAACATAGGAGAAAAAAGAAATCAACAAACAAGAAGGGATAGGGAGGGAAGGGGGGGAGAGAGGGAGAGAGCAAGAGCGAGAGAGACAGAGAGAGAGAGCGCCAGAGCAAGAGAGGGCTGAACAAGACTCAAGAAAGCAGAGTAAGCCAGGTTTAGAGGCTCACACCTTTAATCTCAGCACTTGAGTGGCAGAGGCAGGCTGAGTTCGAGTTCTATAAGAGCAAGGCCAGCTTGGCCTACATAGCAAGTTCCAGGCCAGATGAGGCTACATAGTTAGACCCTGTCTCAAAAAAAAAAGGCACCAAAAATAAATAAAAACTAAGTAGAGTGTGTTTTATCTACACGGAGAGTTACTGGGCCATTTGAGTCACCAGTCACCCAGAGAATACTGTGGCCATGGATGAGCATGTGATGTGGGAAAAGCTGCCACAGAAGATGCCAGCTATGTGAGCCTAGCATTAGCATGTTGTATCACCTGGTGGGAGAGATAAGAAACTTTGAAGAACAGGGATAGAATTTCCTTCCCAGGACCCAACACATAGAAAGGTGCTCCATAAAAATCTGCAAAATGATTAACTGCCAGTATAGAGCACCTCAGGGAATATTTTAAACTGATACTATTTATATTAATTAGTTTTAGGATTTTTTCAGTCCCCTAAGCTGGCTTTAAGAAGCAAAGACCAACTGCACCTAAGACACTGTGACATGTTAATATTTATTTAACTGGTCTATTTTATTTTTACATCATTGTGAATTGAACCCAGGGTCTCCCACATGTTAGGCAGCCCTCACTGGGGGATTCTAGGCAGGTGCTCTACAACTGAGCCATGTCCCAAGCCCCTTACAGGGGGATTCTAGGCAGGTGCTCTACCACTGAGCCATGCATTCTCAGCCCTCTTTTTACCTTCTATTTTGAGACAGGATCTCACTAAGTTACTTAGGCTGTCCTTGAACTCACTCTCTATTCCAGGCTGGCTTGGAATTGGAGATCTTTCTGTATTAGCCTCCTGAATAGCTGGATTGTAAATGTGTGCCACGAGGCTAGGCTTTCAATAATATTAACAAAGAAAGAATGGGCCCCAGGTACCAGTAAGCAGGTGGTTCTTCACAAGAACACAGAAACACATCTCTTATCACATACACGTCTTCACACATCCAGAAGCACAGAGCTCTGTGAACAGTCCCTAGAGTTACATTTTTTTGTCAATGATTACACAGAAAGTTTTATATTTTACTCAAAAACATGCACAGCCACTGAAGTCACCTGTAATAAAGAACAGGAAAAGCAATAGGCCCTCAAGATACCTGCTCAAAGCACAGATATTAATTCCATAATGAGAGCTGGGACAGCAAATCAACTGATGGAGTGCTTGCCTAGCATCACCAAGTCCTGGATTCCATCCCTCACTACAGATAAACCAGGCATGGTGGTGCATAATTGTGATCTCAGTGTTCAGGAGGTAGGGGCGGGAGGATCAGAAGTTCAACCATCTCCTCTCCTCAGTCACATAGTGAGTTTCAGACCAGCCTGGGCTATATAAGACCTTATCTTCAAAATTAAGCAAATTGGGGCTGAAGAGATGGCTCAGCGGTTTAGAGCACTGGCTACTCTTGCAAAGAAGCCGGGCTCAATTCCCAGCACCCACATGGCAGCTGACAACCATCTGTAATACCAGTTCAAGGGTATCCAATGCCCTCTTCTGACCTCTACAAACTGCAGGACATAGGTGCACTTACACACATGCAACCAAGACACTCATACACATGAACTAAAATAAAAATTAAGAAAATATTTTTAATTAAGTAAATTGAAATATATATATATTTGGGGGGGGTCTTTTTGAAGCAGGTTCTCCCTGTAGCCCCAGCTATCCTGGAACTCACTATGTAGACCAGGCTGGCCTTGAACTCACAGATATCCGCCTACCTCTGCCTCCTAAGTGCTGGGACTACAGGTGTGCGCCACCATGCCTGGCAATATAAATATTTTTTAAATCCATGGAGAATGAAGCTTTCTTGAGAATCTGTCCCCACCTTTTTTAAAGACCCTTTTGACTCAAAGAAAATGCAGAGAACTTTACTTATAAGTTGCATTCTATCTCTTATTACCAACTTTTTTTAGATTCAAATGATAAGAACAATATGTCTATGAATGTGTTAATCTGTCTATGAATGTGTTAATTTTTAAAGTATAACTTTAAAAATTCATTCTAGCTGAGGTGAGATAGAGACCAGCCCAATCTACACAGCAAGTTCTAGGCCAGATGGGGCTACAGGGAGACCCTGTCTCAAAAAAACAAAACAAAACAAAACAAAAAACAAACAAAAATTCAATCTAGAGAAAACATCTTTTAGTCTCCAGCCGGCTCCAGAGTCTGATCCAGTCATATAGAACCCCAGATATAATGGAGTCCTGGACACATGAGACCTCAGTCACAGAGTGACCCAGCCACACAGCACCCAAGCCATACAAGGTGAGGACTCAGTAACACAGTGACCCAGCAATGAGGTGCCCCAAGTACATGGGCGTGCCAGCCATTTGGGACCAGATCCTGTCCATATCTCAATGTTTCCCTAAAAGACTTGAGCACTTTACAGTCACAGTTTGAAAATGCCAAGCTGGGAGAATGCAAACTCCTTGACAAGACAGAAGCTTACTCCCTCTGAAACTTCCAATCCTGCACATCAGACTGGTCAGACATTCAACAGATACTGAGCAGAAATGGTCATCCTTCCCAAGATAATGAGGGACAGGGTCATTTCATCATCAAGAACACCATTGGCTGAGTCTTGCTATGCCAGCTCCCTGGAACCAGGGCCCTAGGACAAGGCCCTGGTCCTCCCTGGGCCAAATTCCCTGGCTATGCCCTCATGGACAAAGACACCTTCCCTGACCACAAACCACAGTTTTTTTATGTCTCCAAGCAAAGTTCTAAGCAACCTTCATTTTTACATATCTCATGTCTACAAGTTAAAGGCTACAGCAGATGGTAAGTTGTTGGTTGGTTGGTGAATGGCTTAGTTTTGTAGTAAAGTACAACCAAGTCTTGAAACCCCAAGTGAAGCTGATAGTTGAACACTGCAGCCCAATCCTGAACTCACCTGAGGCTCCACATGAATAGCACAGGCCCTCTCCAATGCTGTCAGCTACAGTGTGACCAGCCTGTTCAACATGCCCCATAAGACCCCATCTTTCCCCTCTGTGCCTTCCCAGAAGACTGACTGCATCCCCATTGCCACTTCCATCTAAAGTCCAGCCTTACAAGCCTTCAAATTTTTCAAGTAGAACATTCAAGCTCAAGTTAGATTGTAGTGATGAACTCTGGAGGTTGAGGCAAGGACTACAAGTTCAAGGGCCAGCCTGGGCTACAAACTGTCTCAAAAAATCAAAAGCAAACAACAACAAAACTGAAGTCCTGGAGATGCAGCTCAGTGGGAGAGTGCTTACTTCTTATGAATGAAGCCCTGGGTTCCACCCCCAGCACATAAACAAGGAATGATGGAACACACCTGTAATCCCTACACATGGGAGGTAGAGACAGGACCACACCAAAAAAAAAGGAGAAAGCGAGCTGAGTACTGGCATTCATCTCTCTTTGTCTCCTGACTGCAGCTACAATGTGACCAGCTGCCTCACACTCCTGACATCATGCCTTCCCGACCATGATGGACTGTGCCTTCAAACCGTGAGCCAAAGAAAAACCCTTCCTTCCTTAAGTTGCTTTTGTCAGGTATTCTGTCACAGCAACAAGAAAAGTCACTATACCTCCCAACACATTCGTAATAGAGAAAAACAGACTCCAGTAAACAGCATGCTTCCACTGCCCCTTACGATGCATGTGCAACCCAAGAATATCAAAACCTGGAGCAGAGGAAATGAGGCTGTACAAGAAACACTGGTGCAGTGCCATGGACTTAGCCACTTTGCTGGCCAGCATGGTAGAAGCAGGTCCAAGGCCCACTGCCCCATGATGTCCCTGTAAGGATTTCAGTGATATCCATCCAACATGGGGCCAGAGACTGGGATGGTGGGAGGGTCTGACATTGCTCATATCATGGCCTGTGCAATGCCTGCCTTTGGTATCAGCTGGCACTCTACTGACTCTGACAACTTGTCCATTTCGATATCCCCACAGCCTGGGTGGGGCGTATACTCCACCAAGATGGGGTTGGTGACATCAGAATAAAAAGGAAGTATTTTCCCACTCATTTGTCTGATAAAACTAGGAAATGTCTTTGACTTGTGTTCTAAGTATTTCCAGGGATCATGAGACCCCCAGGTGAGGACTGTGATGTGGCCCCAGCTCACCTCTGGAGTGTTCTTCTTGAATTCTCGGCTCTGCTCGATGAGCCGCTTTCTGGACTGTTCGCTTTCATCTTGCCGGTTTGCCAATACTGTTGCGGTGGCATCAAGTTCTCTCTATGGGGAAACCGAGAGAGAAAAAGCAAGATTGTAATTTGTGGTTTCTAGTAGAAAGGATCATGTAGTGTATTGGGCCTGAACAATAAGGCAGGACCCAGAAAGTGAGGCTCAGGGACAAGGGTACAGACTGTGAGCATAATCCACCCACATAGCATGAGTTGGAGAACACCAAACTGGCTCAGCATGCCATGCTGTGCACTGAACAAGTAATTACTTCCTTTGGTAGTGAATGCAGAAAGTCTCCCCGCTAAACCAGAGTTTGGTCAGTGTCCTACTTTTTTCACAGCCATTCTCCTGAGTTCTGGTCTCCTTGCCTGACACAGTGCTTCCCCATACCCCCAGGGACTCTGGCTGGCTGGCCTTTCCCAGTGTGTGCCTGAGACTTTGGGCAACAACAGCTGGTTTGCTTCCATTCAACAAGTATTTACTGAAAGCTTACTCTAGGCCAGGCATCCTGACTGGGACGATTAACCTATTAGTTTTCAAGAGGAACCTTTAAAAGGCTAATTCCAAGAAGAATTATTTCCATTATCTTGGAAACTTTTCAGAGACAAGTTCCCCAAGCATCCCATGTGCCCTGGAGTCTAAGGATCCTTGGGAGTGGGTTCCCCAGAAGATTGGTCAGGGTCTAAAGGCTCTGTTCCAAATGGCAATCAGTCCTACAGTGTCAGGGAGCCCATGCTCCCCAGAGACTTCGCCAGGAGGAGCACGTGCTTCAGAGCAGCCCACAGCAGACAGACCTGAGATGGAGCTCCAGGCTCATGGCAGATGCATGGGTCACGTGATTACCTACCCAATGGTCTACTGTCTTGCATGCTAAGTGAAGTTAATTCAGTTACTGAACACACAGAACAGGACAGTCTACAAGGGATTCAGTGGCTGTTATGGGTAGTCTTTGCCATCTGTGGCAGGGCCTACTACCCTGTGGCCAAGTAGAGTGAATGCTAAAAGGCCAGGAAAGCAAGTGGGGTCTCTTCACCACCTGAGGCTCTACCTGCTTTCTTTTTTCTAAACCTTCAAAAAAATTTTTTAAAGATTTTCTTTTTCTTAAAGATTTTCTCTTTTTTTCTTTTTTTGCCTGCATGTAGTGCACCATGTGCATGCCTGATGCACGCAGAGGCCAGAAGGGGGCATCAGATCCCCTGGAACTAGAGTTAAGGATGGGTGTTAGCCGCCATGTGGGTGTTGGAAACCAAATCTCTTAACTGCCGAGCCATTTTTCTAGTACCCTGCTTCCTTCTTTTAAAACAGGCTGCCCTTGGACTCCCTGTAAAGCTAAGGATGGCCTTGAATGCCTGATCCTATTGCCTCCACCTCCATCCCAATTGCTGGGATTACAGGCAAGTACCACCATGCCAATTTCACGCATTGCTAGGGATAGAACTGGGGGCTTCATGCACACTGGGCAAGTAGTCTACCAACTGAGCCCTATCCCTAGGCCCCCAGAAATTCCACAGGTTTTAAAAGTTGTCCTAATGTATTTCCCCAGAACTAGTAGCAGCCACATAACAATTTGGAGCGATGCCTGTAAGGGAACTGCTGGGCAATGTAGGGTGTCCATCGTTCAAAAAAAAAATCCCCAGCTACTGGAGCTGGAGAGATGGCTCGGTGGTTAAGAGTACTGGCTACTCTTGCAGAGGACACAGGTTCAATTCCCAGCATCCACATGGTGGCTAATAACCATCCTTAACTCTAGTTCCAGGGGGAATCTGATGCTTTCTCCATAGGCACTGCACAACCAGGGTACATTTACATATATGCTGCAAAACACTCATACACATAAAGTAAAAAAATTTAAAAAGTTCACAGCTTCTATCTGACTGAGGCTGGGTTAAAAAATGACTGCCATCTTGCCTCCTAGAACTTTCCACAGAGAGTTGTGGGGGTAGTGGTTGGATTTCTCTTACTGAGGATGGCCTGGAATTTCTGATACTCCTGCCTCCTGCTCCAGTGCTGGAATCACAGGAATGTACCACTGAACTTGGTTTATGTGATGCTGGGGATGGAACCCAGGGTTTGCTGTATGCTAGGTAAGCATTCTACAGGGACTGAGTAGAATCCCCAGCCCCCTTGCTTCCTTTGTAGTGGAAACAGCCCAACAGGCCAGAAAGCCATCTAGGGTGACACTTCCCTGGTACCACAATGGGGTGGCTCATGGCCAGACAAGATGACAGAGAGCTGGAACAACCAACCAGCACACTGTCAACTTAGAAATCTTAAAGACAGTTCAAACATGGGGAGGAAGTGGGGAAAGAGAGATTGGGAGGTAGGGGGAGAGGCCCCCATGCCACGTTCTTCCTTTAGTATTTCTGGCATTCAAACAAATCCTGGGTGAGCAAATCCAAAAGAATATTGTGGGCTAGTATTCAAGAACAGATGTCAAAGCTATTGCAGAAAAGTGGGAAACACTGGGCGTTTTGATAGACCACATTTGAAAGTCATCCCAGAGAAGAGGAGGCAGGGAAAAAGAGCAACCACCACCGACGTGGTGAAGTGGGATGGAGAGAGGCGAGCGAGCAGCCACAGATAACGCAGAAGGCTTGCAAAACTATAAACAATCTGGCAAGGAGGAGGACTTGGATGGCTATATTTAAGCAGCAGCAGAAGTTATAACGGGAGGCTTAGAGAAGGGCGGAAAAAAGCCAATATTGAAATATGACAGAAATGGGAGAGGTTGATGTTTCCTTCTAATCACACACACACAGAGAAAACTTGAAGAAACAAAATGGGCATTGGCTGCTGTTTCTACAGGGACCCTGCTGCCTCTGCAGGGCAGAAGGCTGGACCTCAGCCACATGACCAGGGGCATCCTTTGGCTTCCTCAAGTCAGTGAGGCACTGGATGTGGAGATGTGAAGGGAACCTGTGGGTTTCCAGACTTCCTACTTAGGGAAGCAGGTACACAGGGTCACAGGGCATTATGGCATGTTACTGTCATTCCAGCATGTGGGAGGTAGAGGTAGGAAGATAAAAGAGTTCAAGGTCATCCTCAGCTTTGCAGCAGGTTCAAAATCAGTCTGGTCTATATGAGACTGGTTCAAAACATGAATTAAAATAAAATAAACAAGGCTGGAGAAAAAGCTCAGTCAGCAAAGTGACTGACTTGTAAGCCAAGGACGTGGGTTTGTTCCCTAGCACCCACAAGATGTGTGGGTGCAGTGCCAAGGGTTTATTATCTCAGTGCTCGGGAGGTGGGAAAAGGAGAATCCCCGGAGCCCACTGGCTGGCCACCCTAGCCTATACAGTAGGTCTCAGGGGACTGAGAGACCTTGTCTCAAAAAAAACAAGGTGCAGAGCTGGGTATGATGGTGCACACCTTTAATCCCAGCACTCAAAGAGACAGAGGCAGGTAGACCCTGCCTCAAAAAAAAAAAAAAAAAACCCACAGTGAATGGCACCTGAGGTTGTCCTCTGGCCTCCACATACATGCACCTGTACTCATATGTGTGTGCATACACCCCTATATACATATGCACATACACACATAAATAATAAGAACACAGGCCTGTCAGACTCTGTCTCCTGACTCCAGCCCCCATCTGTCCCTCTGTGAGATCCCTCCCTAGACAGACGGTTCAAGCAGCTTGCGTGGAACAGGTGGCCTGCTGGAAGTAAACCCACCTCGATCATCATGCTGCAGAGCCAGTGCACCTGGGGCCACTTGCTGCTGGCAGTCGGGGACTCTATGGGGTTCCACTGTACTCCCTTCCCCAAACTTACAGACATATGCAGGGTGACATGAGGAGCCAATGGGGGTCTCCAGATTTAACACCTTGCCACCTCCTGCCACTATGGAAACAGATTGACACAGCAAGGAGGAGAGATTGAGCCTTCCACCAATGTGTGGAGCTTCCACCACCCCAGATGGGGCTAGTCACATTTTTAAGGCTCAAAATCTTTGACTGAATCGCTTATAAAAAATAAAAGCATGATCAAATACACCAAATCCTGCCGCCCCCTGCCCCCGGTATGTGTGTGCATGCACACACACATGTACTGCTCCTATGTGCAGGTCAGAGATTGATATCAGGAGATTTCTTCAATCATGCTCCACCTTATATTTTCATTTAGTAATTTTTATTTTATGTGTATGAGTGTTTTGCCTGCATGTATGTTAAGTACACCCATGTCATACAATGCCCAAAGAGGCCAGAAAAGGACATTGGCTCCCCTGCAACTGGAGCTAAGGATGGTTGTTAGCTGCCATGTGGGTACTAGGAACCAAATCCATGTCCTCTGCAAAAGCAGCCAGTGCTCTTAGCCACTGAGCATCTCTCCTGCCCCATGCTCCCTCCACCTTATTTTTTGAGTCAGGGTCTCTCGCTGAACCTGGAGCTCAACAATTCAGCCAGGCTGGGTAGTCAATAAGCTCTGGGGATCCATCCACTTATGTCCACTTCCCAAGCACTGGGATTACAGATGTGCTACCATACTCAGCTTCTTACATGGTTCTGGGTATCTAAATTCAGATCCTCATACTTTCACAGCAAGTGCTTGACTGACTGAGCCATTTCCCCAGCCCCTACCAAATCATTTTGAAAGAAAGTAAGATGTATTCTCAGGCTGCAGAAACAACACACAGGGAGTAGACTGCTATAAAACATAAGGCCAATATTGTTTTATTATCTACCAAGCCTGTCTATGCTCAAAGTGTCAAATATAATGACGTATTAATAAGGGAATCTAATGTGTAAAGGGGAGGAGGAGGAGGAACCAAAATACAGAATTGTCAGCCCATGAGTCATTGGTCACATGGAAACAGGAGCACAGACAGTCCCCACACATCTGAAAGGCATTAAAACAAAAACAAGAAACCAACTTAAATGTCCACAAACAGCATTACTTGGCATGGCCAGTGACAGATGACGATGGTTTCTGTGATGGTTTAAAAAATAGAAGAAACATTTTACACAGTCCCAAAGATGCTATGTGGAAAGCATATCACCAAAATATATTTAATCAAAATCATCAAAGCCTCAAACAAAGCCGGGCATGGTG